TTTTCAAAGCTCCATACTGCTAAAGTTCGTCATCTTTTGAAAAGCACTTTAAGAATGTTTGTTTGATGGATAATTTACCCCGTAGGTAAAGAGACAAAAGTCCGAAGAATCATGCAACTGCATTTATTTAACCCAGCAGAATGTATTATGTAAGCTGTCAAGGTTTTTAAGCAGCGAAGTTATAATGTCTCATACACATGCAAAATTCGTCGAGATAGATGTCACAAACTTTTAATCAACTCTATACGATATGTACATATTTTATGGACTGAAGGAGATCACAGTTACCCGTAGATACAAATAAGTAAATACGAAGTTTTTGGGTGTTTTCTTTGCCAATACATGTAATGGCACTATCTCTGGGATACATGGGACATGAACGATGAACGCATGGTACGAAAGCTCCATGAAGATATCACTGATGTGCGTTGCGTCATGCCGGACTTCGAGTTTGCATGAGATAGTCGTGAGCTAAAACGCTGTGTTAGCTTCAACCCTATTTGCGGAAGTCGTACACCTACCTTTGTTGCTCACAATAACAGATTAGAAACAGCCATCTCTTGCAAGTTTGTAGTAGTTTCTTTCTGAATGTTGAAGAAGTCATGCAGAATAGTACAACATTGAGCATTTTCCCGGTGAGGACCAACTGATTGGCGACTACAGATGCTATCTGCAGATTGCTGAAAGCAGGACAGTGAGATACTATCAGGTTGAAGCTAGTAGGAATAAAGATTACCTAGTAGATCCGTAGAGTATTTGGTAGATGAATACTATGGCAGATGGACCTTGTGTGAGAGTAAAACATGTAACGATGGCCAACACTGTAGTTGTCATCTTTCGCTCTTGCTCATGAATTGCTTCTGGATTAGCATTTACAGAATTGACGAGTAACTCCTAAACCATGATTTATGCGTCACCGTCCTTAGGAACCTTACCGTCTACCCACCTCGCAGTTTCTTTTTTTCATCAATTTAATTAATGAGATGTTTATCGCACCCACGGCAAATACAGGTAATAGAACAGCAAAGGAAGCATTTAAAAACACAGACAGCTCGATCCATTCTCGGATAAACTCCGATGTCGGATTCGCCTTTTTTCCCCAGTATGGGAGAGCATTTGAGAAACACATGCCTATAAGCTGAGTTCCGGAGCAAACAGGCCATATCTTGCAGGTGTGCGAGACGTGATGATAGCTAAAATAAAAGAAAATCATGGTGTCTTTTTACTTTACGCAATATTGCATAAATGGCTGGGAACCCAATAAAGAGATGAGTGTGACGCATCAGAAAATGCCAAGAATTACCACACAAATTTGAAAATGGGAACATGACCAGGAGAGTAGGCTCATTTATAGCTTCCTTACCTTGTCAATACAAATGTAGCGCATAGAATGCACAGCGATACGAAAACGATTTGGCGAGACTGTAATTGAAATATTGCATAAGTATACAGTATATGAGTAAGATAGTAATTTTTTTTCAATTCTGTTTGTGAGTCGCTAGGAATCTAGCAATAGTGTGAGTCATGATACTGACCTTCAGAAACTAGCGATTTCCAAAGTATCTAGTTTTCTCTGGCGTAGTAACCGCACTAATACCCCGATTTCGAAAGACTAAAAAAGCTATTAAGCACGCAGTTTTGAAATTCATCCCTCCCTTTTTCCCTCTCCTCCTCCCTTTTGTTTGAGTTATCGTTATAGCGTTAACACGAGCTTCGGAAAAGATAGGATCACGCAATCATACGGCTAGCACAAGTTATCGTTCATGTTGGCTGCCCTCCGGTTTACGAAACCTTCACACGGATAAAAAATGCGCCGCAAGCAAAGTGCCCCTTGAGTTTTACGATTTGTTTCTACCGTAAAATTGTACTCTGTGGCTCTCAAAGAGTCAAAAACTTGCTTTAGACACGAAAGTTGCTACATATTTGGGCCTCAAATACTTCCCATACAGTGGACTTACATTGTAATTGTCTAGTGAGCGGAAAGGAAATTTGATAATCAACAGACGTTCAACAGAAACGGCAAGCACAAACCTGCAAATTA